ATGAAAGTGGTGAACATAATCCTGGCTCAAACGTTTCAAATGAGTTTCATTTAACCTTTTACAATTTATTTGTTTCTTTTTAGTCTGCAGCATTTGCATTTCGAGAATGTTTCATTTTTAAATTCAAACTCTTCTAAATTGTGAAACATAATATTTTGACTCCAAAAAAAAAATATTTTCCCTGTGACGGAGCTCATTAATATTACAAAAGTGCCCAAAATAAAAGTGTTTATAACACTGTGTGAAGCAAATAAATATATGTTGTTTATTGTGTGGGTGTAAATGTGCTTTGGTCAATTTCAATTATTAGGCCGCCACAGTGGTTTAAATTCCTGGGGAGAACACTGACTACACTAATCTGTCTGCAAATATATAGGATTTAGAATATTCGGCACATGACATGTGTGACATGTTTATCTGATTGTATTCAGACCTAACATTTACTCATTTACACTACTCCTACCTTTTGCCAGATGTCTTCAAATGTCTCTACGCCTTCACTGACTTTCTTTAAGCACCTGTCTATTTCACCTGCAAAATAAACAAACGCTAATTGAAACAGAATTTTCTTTTTCATATGATGTATTGTTGTAATGGAAGAACAAGCAGTTCAGGCATTTTCAATCATATTAAAGACTTATTTCTGTTAAACATGCTGATTAAAATCTAAAACATCAGGATTTTAATTTAATTTTCATAAAATATAACTGTAGCAGACAAATGGTACACCAATGCGGTCTACTGTAATGCAAATACCGGTACTGACATTTTTTTCAATTCACATCTCGCTTATGCTTTGTCAAACCATTATTTAACGAGTTATCATCAGTGTTGATTTAATGTACTCACAACAGAGTAATAGATGAACACATCGACTATGATCATACATAAGGAGTTGCATTGGGAGCCAATGTTTCGCTCTCAGTGATCTTGTCAGCGTAGGATAGACACGATTGTAAAACACTATAAGCAGTTAAATTTAGAATGACATTTCTACAGATTGTTTGTTATCATATTTTTGTTAGTATTACAAGGCTAGACACTAAAAGTAGTCATATAGTCAACAACAAGTTAAATTGCATTTTGCAATCACTAAGAAACCATATTTCAGACAAGCAAGTTTAATAAACTCAATATCAAGCCCTTTATCAATATCAGTATAAAAATTTGGTACAATAAATAATTTAAAACAAGTTGTACACTTGTAATTTTCAAAATGGTGGATCTTGATGAAGGAAGCATTCATTGTGGCACATGTTTTTAACAAAATATATTCATTTCATTCAATTGTACTAATATTACATTAAAACATAACTTTAACCATGTAAATTAAACCATAAAAGACATCTTAGCATCAAGCATTACAATTTCCATCCCACAACCTTACATTGGTTCCGTAGCTACCTTTCTGACCGCACTCAGTGTGTTAAACTTGGTAGCCATTAGTCCGAGCTCATTGATGTCAAGACTGATGTCCCACAAGGTAGTGTATGTGGACCTGTTTTATTTTCTATCTACATCAATGATCTGCCAACTTGGCTTCAATCTCCTTCACCAATATATGGCTACGCTGATGATCTCAATCTCCTCAAATCGTCTAACTACACCAACCTTGACTGCATTCACAATGAAATTGAACAAGAAAGTAACAGCCTTCTACTGTGGTTTTCTGCTGATTCACTTCAACCCAACTTATCAAAATATCAGTATATGCTGTTTGGCACTCGTCAACAACTACAGAAAGTACCTGCTCACATCAAAACTCTCATTATAAAAGATCAAACAATTCACTCAACTACATCTGCAACTTGTCTTGGGCTGAGAATGGATCCTGAATTGAAATGGTGTAACCATATAGCCTACCTTCGTAGGACATGTCGATTCCGCCTATCAGGCCTCGTAAGATCTCGTCGCTGCATTCCTGAGAAAGCTCGCAAGGACATTATCTCTGCCAGTATTCTCACTACTTGATTACTGTGACACTGTGTATTCTAACTGCAGCATTACACTAAAAAGTAGTCTGCAACGTATCACCAACCTTGCTGTACGCATCCAATGTGGCTTGAAAAGACATGAACGTGTCTCCATTGCAAGATCAGCTCTTGCTTGGCCAACCATTCAAGACAGACAAACTAAACACTTTAATAATCTCATTTACAAATGCAAGCAATATTTAGTCCCACCATATTTATCTGACCTTCTCATTTCAAACTGCCATCCATTCCTACAACACCAGAAATCGATTTCATATTTCAAAATCTCACACTTGCTCTTTTAAATATCGCGCAGCTACAGCTGCTAATAATATTGTATAATTTTATCTTACTACTTTGTTGTCAATTCATATTTTACCCCATTTATGCATTTTATCGTTTTGTTCGGACTGCTATGTTATTGTCATTTTTTTTATTGTAATTTTATCATTATTTCGTAATCATTTTATTTTATACCCTATCTATGCTTTTCTTTATTGTGTTCTCGTTATTTTTGCAGTGGTTTGTTTAATTCTATGTTAATTTTTATATCTATATGCTGTGCATGAAAAACCATTTATGGATGTACTGTTCTAAATGAATAAATTACAATTACAATAATTCTGATACTTATATGAGTACATGTTAGAAACTTGCTATTTTTTACTCTTCCAGGAAAATAACTGCACAGAAATACTTTGAAAAATATACATACATGTTGAACACAAAATCTAACTTGGGTAATAAACTACAGTATTCAAGCTTGAAATAGACTAGATAAAAACTGAATTAACTAGAAAATAAGATTTGTGTCGATCAATGCAATGTTCTTCCCAGAAAAATTGCATACAGTATTGGTCAATTTACATAAGAATATAATATGCTAATGACTTCTATTATATTCATTGTTAATGGTTTTATTGTCTATCTAAAATTTAACAGTTGGGAACCCCTACTGTATAATGCCCTGGGGAGAAAGAACTTTGCAATGTCAATGAAAACATCTGACAGGCACAATAAAAAAGGTAAAAATAAAGTACACTGTACATCTTCATGCAATTATTTCATATATCATATTATATCATACTGTATCAGTTACGTCCCAGAGTAGCTCATTTACTGCTCTGCATGAGTTCTTGAACCAAACAAAGAATGATCTTTACAGACCATGATAAGAAGATTGACAGCAATCCTTACACTATAATTAATTTAGAGTTTGTTTAATGTATACATAGTGCTACATGCATCTGCAATAAATATTACCGGATTCGGCTGATACCCCGCCCTGGACGATCTTATGGAGGATTCGATTTTTTTAAAGAAAAATGTGGACCAAAAGATCGCCCGGGCGATCTTTTGGCAGATATTACGAGGCCCATCTTGTCTAAAAAAAATAACCCTGCGTTGATAGAAATGGTCTAGAAAAAATAATGTTTCGCGTTGACCAAATATAATCATGCAAAGAATAAATTCAAAGTGTTTTAATACATTGGTGAGAGGTCGCATTTTACGTGAACGAGAACATGCACCAAGAAGAAAAGCAAGTCAAAGTCGAAACGGGGTGCATCATGGACATGACACAACACACGCT